AAACCCTAAACCCTAAACCCTAAACCCTAAGTCCCTTAGAATAAATACACAACAGCCCTTGGGAATTCAAGTAGGAAGCTTTTCGCTGCTGGACCCTCCCGCTGCATTTTGCTGCTGCACTCTTCGCTAGGGTTTAGGGTTTGGGGTGTACGTACACCCCAAACCCTAAACCCTACGAAGAGTGTTGAGGTGTACGTACACCGCAGTCATGGAAAAGCCGCCCTATGGCCAGGTAAATATCTCTTTCTGTGGGTAAGGCATCCATTGCTGACAAAAAATAAAATAAGGCCTGCAGCAGCAGCAGCAGCAGCTATCCCTTCTATTCCTTTCTAGCAGCCGCAGCATCCCATCCACAGCAGCAGCAACAGCAGCAGGACACAGCAGCAACAAGAACCAAATCTCATCCGAGCAGCCGCAGCAACATCAGCAGCAGCCCCATCGACAGCAGCAGCTTCCCCAGAGCAACCGCAGCAGCAGCAGCAGCAGCACGCAGCGACAAGAGCAGCAACAGCAGCAGCAGCCCACGGCGAACGCAGCAGCAGCCCGCAGCGACCACCGCCGCCGCGGCAGCAGCAGCAGCAGCAGCAGTACCCGGTTGAGCTTGCTGGGATCGGCTTTGGAGACGTCGATCCCAGGGACAATGTCAGTTCGAGCAGCAAGAGCAGCAGCTGCCAGCAGCAAACCCAAATTGAAAGACACAAACCCTCTGCTGCTGCGCGGCGGCCTGGACTCCAGCACTCGCCGGAAGCTGCTCAGCGCCGCTCGCTGCGCGCAACGCACACCCCACACGCTGCTGCTGCTGCTGCTGCTGCTGCTACTGCTGCTGCTGCGGCTGCTGCTGCAGCGGCAGTGGGGTGGTGGGGCGGTTGCTGGGGGTGAGGACAGGCAGCTGCTAGGCTGGAAGCAGCAGCAGCTCGCAGCAAGCACGAGCTGCTGCGGCTGCTGCTGCTGCTGCGGCTGAAGCTAGCCAGCAGAAGGCGCTAACTGCTGCTGCTGCTGCTGCTCTCGATGCCGCTTCTGCTGCAGCTTTTGATGCTGCAGTTGTCTTAGCTGCTGCTGGGACTAGGGCCAGCTAGCCGGTGAGAAGACAGAAGGAAAAAGGGCTACTTGCTGCTGCTTTGCTGCTGCTTTTGCTGCTGCTTGTGCTGCCGCTTTTGCTGCTGCTTTGTCTCGTTTGCTGCTCGAGTTGCTGCTTTGGTATTTGCTGCTTCTGCTGCTTTTTCACTCTTTTATCACCCCCTACCCCTACTACCGTTGCCTTTTATTCTGTATTTGCTGTTGCTGCTGCTGCTTCATTATCATCTACTTGCTGCTGCTACTGCTGCTGCTGCTGCTGTTGCTTCGTTACTTTTTATTTGCTGCTGCTGCTGCTGCTGCTGCTTTAGTCCCTTGTGCGGCCTCATCTCTACGCGGTGCCAGTGCTGCTGCTGCGCCTGACAGGCAGCAGCAGCAGCAGCAGCAGAAACACAAAGCTACGGACGCCTGCACTACCCCTGCTGCTGCAACCGCTTCTGCCACAGCAGAAGCAGCAGCCGCAGCCGCTGCTCCTGCTGCAGCAGCAGCAGCTGCTGCTGCTGCTGCTTACTGTCAGTCCCTGGTAAGCCATCCAAACCCCCAGCCCCAAAGCTGCATGCGCATTGCCCAGAAAGGGCGGCTGCAGCGCGAGGCAGCAGCTGTAGCGAAACTCCGCAAACGCCTCGTTGGCCCTACAAGCAGCAGCAGCAGCAGCAGCAGCAGCAAAGGCAGCAGCAGCAGCAGCAGCAGTCGTGAGAGCGACAGGTGCACTTCCTTCGTTGGAGGATGTGCTGGGGCTGGAGCGGTCACGTAAGACTGCTGCTGCTGCTGCTGATGCTGCTGCTGAGGCTGTAGCTGCTGCTGCTGCTGCTGCTGAGGCTGTCGCTGCTGGTACTGGGTTTCCATTAGCAACAAGGTAGCAGCAGCAGCAGCACAAGCTGCAGCAACCACCGAGTTATAGAGGCTCCGCGTCATAACGCGCCGCTAAGCTTTAGGATTGGGGCGTAGGGTTTGGATTTAGGGTTTAGGGTTTAGGGTTTAGGGTTTACTTGGGGTGGCCTGCAGCAAAAAGGCGTTTGGCTCTCGCGAAGTGAATAGCAGCAAGAAATGAAAGCGCCATGGGGTCCCTGGGTCTCTTGGCGCTGCTGCTCTTCTTCTTTTTGCTGCTGCTGCTGCTGCTGCCCTTATCTGCTGCTGCTGCTGCTGCTGCTGGGTCCTGCACCTCCAGCGCCCGCTGCACCAGCTGCAGCGCGCGCTCGTGGCGGCCGGCGCTGAGCTGAAAGGAAGCAGCAAAAAGGCAAGCCAGGGCCAGGTCTGCTTTGCTGCTGCTGCTGCTGCTGCTGCTGCTGCTGCTGCTGCTGCGGATGAAGGCCTCGGCGGCGAAGTTGGCCCCGTAGAGGGAGCCCCGCTGCAGCGCCAGCTGCATGCGCAGCAGCTGCTGCAGCTGCTGCAGCTGCTGCCGCAGCGGCAGCGGCAGCAGCAACTCCAAATGAACTAGGAGACACCGCAGCACTGAAGGCCGCAGCGCTGCCATTTCGTCCTCATCCCAGATCTCTGCTGCTGCTGCTGCTGCTGCTGTTGCTGCTGGTCCCGTTGCTGCTGCTGCGGCTGCCGGCGAACGCTGCGACGCAGGGGACTCCGCAGCTGCTGCGATCCCCAAAGCTGCTGGCGTGCCTGCAGCACCGCCTGCTGCTGCTGCTGCTGCTGCTGCTGGAGGAGACGCAAGGAAACGCAGCAGCAAAGACAGCTGCGAGTGAGCGCCCAGTGCAGATAAACAGAGACACAAATTGAAGCAGCAGAGTGCAGCAAGGGCAGCATCGCCGTCGCTGCTGCTGCTGCTGCTGCTGCTGCCGTTCCTGCTGCTGCTGCTGCTGCTGCGGGGTGCGTCTCCTGCAGCATCGTGTGCGCTTGCCTTTTCCCCAAGCGCCTGCTGCTGCTGCTGCTGCTGCTGCTTGGCGCTGTTGTGGCAGCAAAGGTGCAGCAAGAGAGCAGCAAGCAGCCTCTGTGCTTCTGCTGCTCTATTTGCTGCTAAAAGGAGACAGCCGTAATTATGCAGCGCCCCCAAGGGGAGACACCCGGCATTCAAGAAGGCCTCCACTTTGTCCCTTAGCAGCACCTGCTGCTGCTGCTGCTGCTGCTGCTGGAGGTAGACGGCGTCGAGTAGGGCGTCGTAGGCGTTGAGGGCCTGCAGCAGCAGCTCGCGCTGCTGCTGCTCCTGTTGCTGCTGGCCGCCGCCGAGCAGCAGCACTTCGCAGCAGCGGCAAATTGCCAGCAGCACATTTAGCCGGTGAGGGTCTGCTGCTGCTGCTCGCTGCAGCAGCAGCAGAGCCTCTGCATGCAGCTGCAAGTGCCTCGCGGCGCGCACGCCCGTTTGGGAGGGCTCCAGCATCTCTTGCTGCTGCTGCTGCTGTTGCTGCTGCTGCTGCTGCTTTGCCCTTTCGGTGGCTCGCTGCTGCTGCTGCTGCTGCTGGGTGTGCCTGTGCTCGTGTCCGTCGACCTGCATGGCCGCCGCGTCTTCGTGCGCCTCCCTCTGCTGCCGCTGCTGCTGCTGCTGCTGCTGCAGCGCAGCAGCAAGGTACTGGTCAGCGAGGGTGTCAGCTTCCGCCAGCAGCGCGAAAGCCTGCAGCACGAGGACTTCAGTGCAGCGGGGCAGCAGCCGCAGCACAGCAGCAAGAGCTAGCTGGGCCTCTTGGCCTTGTTTGAGAGCAACAGCACATTCAGCAGCATGAAAAGCTGCTGCTGCATGGAGCCCCGTGCGGCAGCAGGCAGCAGCAAACTCGTTCAGCGCTGCTGCTGCTTCCCCGCGCTGCTGCAGCAGCAAGCCCCGCAGGTAGCTGGCCTCAGCCACCAAGTGGCCGCAGTGGGGGGGGACCCAAATCTGCTGCAGCAGCAGCTCGGCAGTTTGCTGCTGCTGCAGCAGCACGAGCCTGCCGCAGAGCTGCAGCAGCACGGCGGGGTCGCTGGGGTCCGCGAGGTGCGCCTGCAGCAGCAGCTCGTTTTGCTGCTGCAGCCCTGCTGCTGTGCGGCTGTCGCCCTGCAGCAGCGCAGCTGCAGCAAGCGCGCTGCTGCAGCGGCTGCTCAGTGCTGCTGCTCTTTCAAATGCATGCAGCGCTTCTTGCTGCCGCCCGAGCCGCAGCAAACAGTGCCCCACTGCAGCACGCAGCTCAGCAGCAAACTCCGTCTCCGAGTAACACACGCACCCCTCCTGCTGCTGCTGCTGCTGCTGCTGCTGCTGCTGCTGCTGCTGCTGCTGCTGCTCCCGGGGCGCTGGGAGGTAGGCCACGAGGCGGGCGTAGAGCAGCAGCGCGTCGGCCCAGCGGCGCTGCAGCACAGCGCATGCAGCAAGCCCCAAGTAAGCAGCAGGATGTTTAGGGTTTGCTGCAGCAACAGAATAGAAGGTTTGTTCCGCGCGCTGCAGCTCTGCTGCTCGCCGCTGCTGCTGCTGCTGCCGCTGCTGCTGCAGGGACTGCAGCAGCTGCTGCGCGCGCCCGGGGCCGCCGCCGGCCGCCGCTGCTGCTGCTGCTGCTGCTGCTGTTGCGTCGCCGCCGGGGCCCTGCAGCACCGCAGCAGCAAGAGACAGCATGGCGCCCAGGAGGAGACACAGGAAGTCTGGGTCTTTGAGGCGCAGCAGCTGGAGGTCGGGGGCTGCTGCTGCTGCTGCTGGTCCCGCTGCTGCTGCAGCGGGGGCGCCGCAGGCCTCCGCGAGGCCCGCAGCAGCAGCAGCTTTCTCCTTCCAGTCTGCTGCCTTGAGCAGCAGCAGCTGCTGCGAGTGGGGGTCTGCTGCATGCAGCGCCTTGAAGAGATAGTGGCTGCAGAGAGCAGCAGCAACCCGAACTCTCCAGTCCCCGGTCCACGCGCCCCCAGCAGCAGCAGCAGCAGCAGCAGCAGCAG